TACATATGAATAAAAGCCTACATTAAAATCTGTCATATAAATTGGTCTCTTCATTAGAAATTAGCCTGCTGATTGCCACCATTGATAGACACATTTTTTTTATAATATTAAAAATATTTGTATGACAGTATATTCTGCAGTTCTTCCCTGCTGTACCGAATATCTATACTTTTCAAAGTATCATATCGAAGTTAGAAATTCAAATATTGTGACAAAATTAATTTTGTAGGGTGCCACAAATTTGTTAAAATTTCCAAAGGGTGCCGCGACTAAAGAAAGGTTGGGAAACACTGGTCTAGAATCTAGATAAATAGCTATTCTGTACGTTTGACTCGTGTAGGATAATTTCCTTCCAAATACGATAATTTTGAACTTCTGGTAGGATACTTGGGCATTTCCAATCTGGCAACACTGGAGCGGAGGAGGGGAGACAGACAGCACAGACAGCTTCTGGTTCAGACAGTTTCATTTCGCTCCCATCGAGTTAAAAACACAAATAAATGCACAGCCATTTGCACTCAGCATCGAAAACATATATTATGAATATATATCTTCTCATAGGATAAGAACACGCAGTCTCATGAATAATTTAATAGACACCGACGTGTCATCGATGTACTATAGTCCATTGCCACGTCACAAATTGTGACGTCAACACAATGTAGATTTTAAACCCGGAAGATGAAAATAGCACAAAAAAGCTTAAAATTAACCAGTTTTCTCCAACAGTTAAAATTATCGGATGCTAACATTGTCTTCTATGATGTGCAACACAAACTAAAATCTCAGAAAAAGTAGTCTGGGGTTTCATCATGACCCTTTAAACATGCCCATCCAACTGTCAGGAAACGCCTACTTTTCTACATCCAATCAGTTCGCAGTAGAAAAAACTGCGTCGGTTGGTTCTTGCTAGCCATGCATTATCCCATACATATCTCAAAGACTAACGGTGCGTCCGAAATCGTACTATCTGAGTAAGTACTACATTTAAATTTGAATTTAGGCTACTTCATGACCGTCTATATAGTTTGAATATGGAATGAAATTCGAACGTACTACATCCGCCATGTTGTTACTGTCACATGACCTACTACTTCACTGCCATTCATAAATTCTTTTATTTTTTATTTATTTTATTTTGTTGTCATAGTCTATCATTTTTATTTGTTGATGGTTGTATTACTGTTTGTGTACTTTTTTTAATTAATAAAAATAAATCAATCAATAAAATAAAATAAATCAATAAATCCTCTCCCGTGGCCTCACGGGATAGTAAAGTGTCCATCGAATGCTCACTTCAGAATCCGGGAGAAGAAGTAGGTCATCCGGGTACTTTTCACCTACTGTTTTTTGAATACTATGAATTCGGACATACTACTCACCTCACGTACTGTTTTTCGCCTACTAGTAGGGAAGTATGCGATTTCGGACGCAGCATAAGCGTTACAGTATATGAGTGATGTCATTATAGCACTAGCTCCCTCATCTCTGTCTTTCTCTCTCACTCTCTTTCTCTCATTTTACCCTCAAAAGTAAACTTTTGTCATTCTAATTGTATTTGCCTCTGATTGTTTCCTCAATTTCTTTTCCTTTCCCCCCTCCTATTTATGCATCTTTCACACTCTTTTCTCTTGACTGAACTGAGCACCACACATTAAGGATTGTACACAAGTTAACGCTGCACTTTTAACCCTCAGGCCAGTATAGTTCAACGCACACTCACGTTCACACACCCACACATATGATGAAATGAAAATGTGTTGAATCTTAATTCATGTGTGACAGGTTATTTGTGTGATTCCTGCTTAATTTGTGTTTGTGTGTTTGGGGATGTTGTATTTTCTGATGTGTTTTTGAGGTACGCTTGTCTGACGAGCTGTTGTTGTGTTATCTCCTTCCTCAGGTTGTGTCGTGTCATGCGTTTGTATGTCAGCTCTTGTTGCTACACTGTTACACTGTCTTCCCTTGTTCGTGTGTTGTCGTGTGTGTGCACTGTAATCCATTCGGTGTTGCTGTGACTTCTTCCTCCTCCTTCTCCTCCCTAGCGGTGACCTTTCACCTCAGTAGAGTGCCCCTCAGGTCTTTGTAAAGAGTTTCAGTGCTCACTATACTGCCGTTCAAAGGCAAAGCACAGCAACTACACATGCATTGCATTATGACTAAAGTCTCTTAGACTTTGAGTTCTCTTGTAACAAACAGGTTTGGCTCAACTATGTTTAAATTCAGAAAAAACAGAGTATCAAATCAGTTAAGCTGACTTCCCCAGTTCCATCGTTGGTGTAGTTATTTTTGTTTTGCCTTTGTAGGGCTGTATAATTGCCATCCCACACTATATGTACTACTAGAAAGAGGAATGTCTTTTATGCTTTAGGGGTTTTGGTGAACGGTCACTGAGAAGGGTTGTGTTTTATTTGCATTTTCTGTTTATTTTTTGAATAAAGCTGGTTTCTTCTCTCTCCTGGAACTGCCCTCCACTCTGGGGTCCACTGACCAGTGTTTCATCACAGCCAGCAGATGAAAACCCTTCATTATATGGACCAGAAACAGTGAACTCTAATATTCTAGCCATGAGTAGATAACAAATGTTCGATAGGGCTGTGCTGAAACACTGCTCTCTGACGCTGTTAGGATGTGTGCTACAGTCCTGTAGTCTAACTGATCAGGGACACAATTCTGCCTCACATATACACTAAACATCAGGTGAGCAGAGACAAACGTGTCTGATAGACTTGAAAGAGACACATGGACATGTAAAGGGTGAATTTAAGGTGAGGTGAAACACAACACAGACACTAAAAAGCTCAGAAAACACATATACTGATACCCACAGACACAGGTAAGTTCTTGTAGGGCTGTAATGACATACCTGGGCTGTTGCCATGGTAACTGGACACTTTAAGGACTGTGATGCAATTGTTACAAATCAACACTGCAAAGTTTTCATGCAGTAGGTTAAGACCCAAATCAGTGGTAAACGGCATTTTGTTCTTAATGTGGAACTTTTTTTTTTTTTTTGCTTTCTCCTTTCTCTCTTTTACCTTTTTTCTTTCTCACTCTATGGCTTCCTTTGTGCCCACAGAGTGTGTTTTACTGTGGTCACAGTGCCTCTTCAAGTACACTTTCAATTATGTTGACGAATGCAAAAGAGCACGGGTCAGGAAAGGTCAAAAGTTTTTCTTTTGGACGTTTTCTCATTTTTTCTTTATGGATTCCATAATATTGACCTGTATGTGTGTATATTTTTATGTGCTGTATGAATGCATATCTGAGGGTTTTGTTTCAGTTTATATTCAGTTTTGTGCTATGGCTTTTCAGTGTGGTCTGTTGGTATTGATGTTTTAAAATAGTTCACCCCAAAATGACAATTCATTTACTCACTCACTTTCAATCCAAACCCGGCTACAGTAGAACACAAAAGAAGATGTTTATCAGAATGTCTAAGCCGCTGTCTTCCATACAGTTTGTGAATGGTTTGTCAAGATTAAAATAAGGACAAAAAGACACAGATAAAAATATAAAAGTGATCCATATTACTAAAGGCTGGAATACACTATACTACATGTTCGTTTGGTTTTGTCAGATCAGTTTGTTAACCCTGTCGGCGTCTGTTGCTATTGATCGGCATTTGTTTTTGCTGATTGAACATGTTCAATCGTTGTTTGTCTGAGAAGTGACGTACTGTAATCGTTTGTCTGTCTGTATTGGTCTGCATCTGTCGGTTGCTAGGAGACGCATGACAAATATAAACAATATGTGTTCTAAAATTGGCTCTAAATATCAAACACGTTTAATATCCTCCATCTGGACAGAATAGTGTGAAGCTAAAAAAAATTGTGCCCATCATACACCAAATTATTTTCTGTGAAATCTGTCACAAAAATCTGCATACTGATTCTAATTTTTGGCAACTAGCGTCGACTTGTCCAAACTGTAACATATGTACAAAAGTCGTGTAGTGTATTACAACCTTAATGCTCTATATTTCAAGTCTTCTGAAGTCATGTAGTATAGCTTTATGTCAGGAAGAATCTTGCCTTGACAGCTATACACATTCACTTTCATTATATGGAAAAGAGCAGCTTGGACATTCTGCTAAAATATTATGGTGATTGGAAGAAAAATATCATAGGAGTGTGAGTAAATGATGACAGAACTTTAATTTATGGGTGAACTATCCCTTTATCTTCCACTCCCTTGCTCTCTTCCTCAATCACCACAGCATGTATTCTTCTTTCTTCTCCCCACTCGAACTTCCGCCTCTTTCTGTTTCTACCTTCTGCCCTCTCACTCCTTCCTGCCTACTGTTGCCAAGGAAACAGTGGAAGAGAGCATTCTGGGACTAAGCAAAACATGATTAAAGAAAAAACGAAGGGGTTAAAGATGGTTCAAGCTAAAAAAAAAAAATGACCTGGAAAATTGGTTAACATTGCAACCTTACTGTTCAGATGCCCACTTATTCCCAAGATGCACTTAGGTGACCATTATGATTATTTTATTGCTGTTGTGCCCCTGTTCTTTTTTGTTTCTTATTTTGCCCCCTTTTATCAATCATTTATTCAGTCTAAAGTGCTCTTTTGATGTGCTGGTGTTTTTGTATTTTATATTTTGAGTACACTGAGATTTTGGCAAATACCCTTGGGCTCTGCCATTGACCGACTCTGGTGGTGAGGCTAAATGTGTAAGAGCTGCAGTCTGGATGCTGGCCACAGCACACTGACTGAGGGCATTGTGGTCATCTTCCTCTCTAGCCATTGTTTTAAAGCGTAGAAATAGTACTGCACTGCAGAGCTGCAGTCACACCCCTCTTTCTCCCTCGCTCTCTCTCTCTTTCTTTCCCTCTCATTTCTCTCCCTCTGCAGACTGATTGATTTTCCCCTGTACTCCTATTTAACCTCACTTCTGAATCTTTGCTGTAACCAGAGAACCCGAGAGTTCTCTCTCTTGGGCTCTCGATGAGCTAGAGCAATTCATTATCAATTTTACCATATCATGTATCACTATGTGTATAAACAGTGCCTTATGTCCTTTTCAGATTATTAAATTAAATTAATTAATTTAAAGTTGCCACAAAACCTTAACTGCATTCTCTCTCTCTCTCTCTCTATAGGAATACATACACATATATATTGTGTATGTATATATATATATATATATATATATATATATACTCAGTAATTAGTTATTATATTTATAGTTATTATATATTTGCTGCATTCTATACTGCTAAAATTAGTTGTATTATATTATAAATTAGTTAATATGTCCACAGAATGGCAGTCCAAAATGATTCCCAACAACCAAATTGGCACAACTGCTGATTGCAACTGCTCTTTCATTCCCACAAACGTTGCAGCCAACTGTCAGAGTTCCAGGTTGCATAGGTGTGAGAATTTGACTGCAGTGCAGTAAAAATTGAGTGGCGAGATATGGCTGAGATGTTGCTGGCCTGGACGATAATGCTTACAAAGGGGACAATGCTTTCATTCTGTTCAGGTCACTGCCCGGAGAGCGAGGGGGAGGGGCCTGTCATGAGCTTTTTTTTTTTGTTTTTTTGTTTTTTACAAATCTCTAATGTAGACTCTAAATAAAATATTTTGTAATACTTCTTCTTATATAGTGAAGTTCTGCATTATTTAGTTTTTGGTGGACCAGACTGCTGGATTCAATAGTTGTCTCAGCAATATTTATTATTAATTGTATTAAAAATAATTAATTTTTCAAGTAATAGTAACGCACATACATGCAGAGATCTGCAGATCCACTGCATTTAACTTCAGTATGATTGAAACATGAACCTGACTGATTCATGTAAAGAATTAAGAAAAATGGAAAAGAAAAATAGTTTAAAAGATATTTGGTAATTCATGTTCCATTTTCTGGTGAATCAAGACCAGTTTATACTCAGTGCAAGGTTATTATCCAAGGTTAGTGAATGGTTGAAGTATATGTTTGAGAAACCATTTTTTTTATTGTCTCAAATCAAGCTGTTCAAATTGGATGTGTTGTGTATGAGTAGGTGTGACGGTGTACTGCATGTATGACACTATCATACATGATCTGAATGTTCTGTGAATATTATTTCAACGTTTGTTGTTTCACTGTGTCCCCTAATGTCAACATCTGCAGACTTATATTTCTTTCTGTTGTTTCTAGCTGCATAAACTACTTTATTTTCTTTCTTTCTTAAATATTTTATTATTTATTATTAATGTAACACCTACTGGTTTGCAATCAACAGTGACATACAACAACCTTACTGGGAACTTTTCTATGTGCACATTGGAATTAATTGTTTATCTTTGACCATGTTAAATGTCATAATTTTATATTTCTGTCCATCCTTGTTCTGTATATGCAGGTGCAAATTTCTGAATGTAAACTATCCCCTGTCCTCTCACTGCAGTCATTACTTACATCACATGATCCTGCTCTCCCTTAATTATTCTTTTTGTGATCATCTTTCTTAGAGTTTGTGTCTTTGTTGTGTAAAGTTTGTGTACTGTCATTTCGTGTTGTTCTGTGTACTGTTGTGTCGTGTTGTGCTGTGTTTGCGTGTTATTCTGTGTCTAAATCATACATACAGATGTGATGTAACTTGTATGTATGTGACTACTAGTGTTTTTGTTTAAAGGATGAACAAATATCCACTTGTGGATATTGCAAATATTAACCCGGACAGATTCACACTGATCAAATATACTGTGTATGAACTCAGACACACTAATGAAACTTAGCTGCGTTATAGACTATAATGCTATAATGCAATAATTCACATAAATATGTTAAATATTAATTTCCCACTAGTAAAAAACATTGACGTCCTCTTTGAAAAGCTCAGATTTTCCACACTTGTTCTTTGTGATGTAATTCGTTATCATGCTGGTTACTGCAAACAGACTAAAGTTTGAGTAAATTGTTCAACACAGTATATTCAACTTTATTTTATTGCTGCACAATTTCTAAACCATTCTGAGGTTAATATTTGTGCCACTAACACTCACCTTCCATCCCACCCCCAGGCCACTCATACAGTCCTCGTAGTGTCACTAAAGTTTGACATGAGGTACGTAAACACAGCAGAGAGGGACTTTCATCCATGTCAGGTCAAGGGCTTGCCCATGCGGATATAATCTCTATGGGCTTGTTAGCATGATTGTTAGACACCATAAGCTGTGCTAGGCTGTGAAGCTACAATGTTAAGACTCTGCATTTCATGCTTTCAGAGAACTTGATTCTCACTCTTTGACCATTTTAACAACGCCTAACTAACTACACTTACAGTGACAGTCAAAGTGAATTTAGCCACATCTCTATCGCAGATGCTAAAGAATTGCAGAAGCACAGAGTCTGTCAAGCTGAAGGCCTGAATTACACCAGTCCACAACACTGTTGTAATTCTTCATACATAACCTCTCACCAAAGCCCTTCAGTGTTGCATGCGTGAGGCTGGTGAGTGTGAGTTGTGTTATTGTGTGTGATGACGATCATGAGATTAATCGACAGGTCAATGAGTATGCTGGAATCATTGTACTGTTAGTAAATACAGAAAATTGCCAAATGTAGGTATTATTAGACTTTTGTTCTTCCATGACCATGAAAGCTCAATTCTTAAATATATCTTAAATATTTTGTTTTGATAACAGTTCTTTTTCCTCCCCTGCCCTCTCCCTTTTATCTGTTTTAGTTTGTCTGTTTTTTGCTTTTTCGCTTTTTTTCCTGCTTTGCTCTATTATTTTTTTTTTTTGGTCTTGTTTTACTGCCATTCTAGGTATCTAGATCTGTTGTTCTAGGTATCTTTGAACTGGAATCCAAAAGTATAGTTATATCCAAACACAATTATTTTCATGTAGGCATTGTCATAAAGCAGCTATTTATGTTAAGAATGGGCTACTAATGCTTTTTTAATCATCACATTTACATTGTAATTGTTCAGAGAAAAAAAGAAGAAAGATAGCAAGTGCCAAAGGTGTACTTATACTGCCTAGCCATATTGATCCTAATTAATCCCATTAAGAGAAGACAAATGCTTATAGGGAATTAAAGACAGTCCAGCAACAGGAAGTGTGATCTTATCTGTACAGTGTTTGCATCACGGGTGCAAATACAGAACATGACGTTCACGCACACATTATTTTCTCTCTGTAAATGATTCTTATGACTCTTATGTGTTTTTATTTGTTACAAACAACAAATAATTTGGTTAAATATGTATATTTCCTCAAATCCATGATGAAAAACAGTCACTTTCTGACTTGCACAAGTGGTCTGGTGTGAGGAACATGATGACCCAGATCTATCTACCACTGCCTTCCTTTACAGCTTCTATAGGCGATGATCTGGTGTAGATTTTGAATGACAAGTGGCTGTGCAGCACCCAGAGTGTCCCAGCAGCCCTCTGAGTCAGTCGCACACACACACACACACACACTTCGGAACTACATCACGCAAGGGACTGGAGATAGGATTGCCGACTATACGACAGTAGGACCTTCTTAACACCCCGTGTTTTTCCTTCCTTGTGAGCTTTTGTCTCTTGTTTTGTTCTGTTAAGACTTATAACTCACTGTGTTTGTGTCTGTGTGGGAAGTTCTCCTGTGTTAGGAGGGGGTTGTCAACTATGTAATGTGCCAGCTCTTCCTTCCATATCCATTCGTGTTGGCTTTTTCAAAAAAAAAACAAAAAAAAAAACAGCAATATCTGAGTCCAGTTCCCCTTTTTACACAATCAAACAGACTATACAGAGGTAAGCTGTGTTTAGCTTTTATTATAACCAGTATTCAGCTATATGAAAAATTTTGTCGAAACAAAGTTTTTATTTCACCCCAAACTTTGGAAAATTCTGTCGTGATTTATTCTCCTCATGCCGTTCCAGACCTGAATGACTTTATTTCTTCTGTGGAATGTAAAAGAACATATTTTGAATATGATTTAAACTGTTTTTGCCCATACAGTGGAAGTCATTGGAGTCTAAAAACACTGGTCTCTAGTGACATTCATTGTATAGACAATAAACACAGAGACATTTTTCAAAATATCTTCTTTTGTGTTCCACAGAAAAATAAAATTCACGCAGGTTTGGAATGACATTTACTAAACTTTCAGGATTTAAAAGAGCTGGTTTAAGTAGCCGGATCGCTGTGGTTGAATGTGTTACCATCCTGGTAAAGAATGACAGATGGTAGTCTGCATACTGAATCATCCACAAGCTAATACTCAGATCACCCTGCCAGATCGTGATGTGAAATTACATCCAACACATATTTTTGTGGGCATATTCGCCATTATCTTTTTAGTGAATTAAGAATGAAAACACACAAATAAACGCAAAGCATTTTTAGTAAATTCCCCCTGAAGTCATTTGAAATCTGACCCAATTTATTAATAGAACCTACAAAGATCACTGAGACCTGAAAAGGGAATTTGTAATCAAATTAAACAACACTGGACTTAGTGGGTGAGAGCAGAAGACAGCCCGAACTCTTTACGAAAGTTTGGCCACACTTACGAAATCAGAAGTTTAACAAAGCCAGAAATGGTTGTGGAAGGAAAGCTTTCAGGCACTTTCGGGTCACATGAAGCTGTTTTAAGTCCCTAATAATCTACTGAAACACACTTGTGTGTAAAAGGAAGACGGATTTGCTGCTAATAATGGAAAGACATTTAGTCTGAAACGCACAAGCTTCACCTGGCCCACAGTGCTGAGCGAGGCTGCTTTGACTAGACGGAGCTCCTCTGCTACTCCTCTGTTGGACTCCAGTGCTAGTATCAGAACGCAGAGTGTTCCGTCTGAGACTGGGTCAAACACCTGGATGCTAAACTCTTTACCTCACTATTGGTCTGAGTCAGCCATCAGGTGCTTCATCCACCTGCTCTTTTACACATCTGCTCTTATCTCTCCCTGAAAACTGTATGTGGCTGCGACTAAAGGGAGTTTTTTTTAATACTGCTGTGCCATAACAACAACAACAAAAAAGAATTTGACAAGAAAACTTGATGACATTTCATAACTCTCATTTTCCTGTTTTGTCCTTGTCTCTGTCTCTGTCTGTCCCTGTCTGTCTTTCTGTCTGTCTGCTTCTGTGTCATTTACATCCATTTCATTGTCATTCTTTGCTTTTCATTTTGTTTTTTCCCCCTTCCCTTCCTTTCCCCTGATTTTTGAACTTGAAAAAAATACCATTTTGTCATGAATTCAATGGTTTTTGCTCATAAAATGCTTCCATAATAATTCCATTTATTCATCTTTCTCTAATGTATGTCATCTATCCATTAACCATCCACCGGATTCTTGGGTTTGTAGCTGCTGGTTACGAGAAGTCCCGCAGCCTCAATAACATCTCGGGGATGACAGGGGCCCCCCTGCGCTTGACCCCCATCACCCCCATCAACAACCCACCCTATGAGCCCTACGAAACCCCCGGCCCCCTGCGCCGCTGCCGATCCCCCATACCCTCCATTCTGTAGCACATCTTAGGGAACGACGACAAAATACGCACCATCATACCGCAATAGTATTAATAATCACAATAACGATGCTAAGTATTCACACCTCTGCTCCTCCATTGACTGGACAGGGTGGGGGTACACAGCACTCTTTTTAATATGTCATGCCTCAAAGGGAGTGGGATGAATTTGTTTAGGGATTTAGAGCTTTAAGTACTAAAATGACTTCATCGCATATACTTCAGGCAATATTTCAGACAGGCAACTAAAAACAATTATATGCTGTAACGTAAGCGGATTATGCCTTATCAAAGATGAAAAAAAAGAAGCACTGAATATTATTAGGATAAAACTCCTCACTGGTCCATAGACAGCGACGAGCACCCTGTAGGAAATCTACCCCTGTAGTTGAATGACAGTAGTTGGCTTTTCCTCATGTTCCTGCCTGATTGCTGGTTGTATAAAAAAAAAACACGAGACTGTGATCCAGCAGGCTTATTCATTGAGTACTAGTCACTGAGATCAGCTTTGATACACCATAATAGGCCTTGAAAATCCACTTCATATCAAAGCTTGGAATGATAAAGGTCATAGGTCACAGACAACATGCAAGTAGTTCAAGTGCATGCTAGAAAAGACGTCAGTTAGGCAAGTAGAATATAACTAAACTCCCAATCACCCTTAACTGCTATGAGGATATGAAAATAAACGCACCATATGCTGGACTGATTTGAACTTCTAATTAAGCCCTGATTTGACTGTGATGAAGGAGTTTTTGGTGATTCAGGCCATAGAACATGATGAGTATTATGATTATGATAAACACAAGGACCATCTTTAATCACACACTAAGTATTTCCTACAGCAACATTAGTTGTCACTCGATATTTTAAACTATTAAGTCACACCGTTATTATAATTATGCTCTATTTAGGACAAAGACAAATGTTTAAACCATTTTAGTGCAATATCAACTATTATGATGATCTCTGACCCTGAGAAGCTGGAGATAAATCCTGCAAACTTTACTATGTGCAACTATTAACTTTAACAACTGTTGTAAACTAACAGAGAGACCGAGAACTGATCATTATTTAAAAAATAAGCTATTTTTGTACTAAGCATTTGGACATTGCGATTCGGATCGGGGTTTGGAGTTGCGCTGGCGGCTTTGAGTTGACATTTTGGGAGGACAGGATATCGTGCTGTTGCATGGAGATCTACAATTAACGTTTTGGTTTTTGTATTTTGACTCTCTGCATATTCAACACCAAGTACCACGAAATTAAAAGAGCAGTGGTCTGGACAAATGGCGGGAAAAAATAAATAAATAAGGAGGAGCCATTCCTATTAAGGGCCTATAACCTTCTGCACTTCTTCGGGACCCTTTTCAGTTTGTATACTAGTGCATGAAGGAACTGTCTTTAAAATATATCCTTTCCTTATTATGGTATTTCCTCATTAATATGAAGACATATCAAGCTGAACTGCACTCCTCACTGCATATCCACATATCCTGGGGCTGTGGTGAACCAGACAGTGGCCTCTATGTTTCCCTACAAAGGGCAAGAATTAGCTGGACCTTTTCATCATCATCACTGGCATTGCCTTCCCTCATCATAATCATTTTCTGATTACTGTTATTCCTATCATTTGAATGCAGTAGAAAATCAGTTCAGTTTGTTTTCTCTTTGGTCCTCTTCTTTTCTTTCTCTGTTCCTTTTTTTTTACCTGCTCTGTCTCTTGGATGCTGACCTTCGTTCCAATATAAAGGAGGGAACATTGAATGGATGCTGGATTGACAGTTCATCTCTCTTTTCATTTCCTTTCTGTGTTTTTTAATGCTCTTTATGAGGGTGTATAGTTCAGGTATTAATGATTTGTACAGTTTTGAAGGTTGACTTTGTAATTTCCACATGCATGGATTTCTATTGCGAGCAATAAGGAAATTATAAGTCTGTGTTTTGATAAGAAAATGTATTTTAACAGAGGTTTATGTACTTGTTTGTTGATACGAGTGTGTACATATGGATGTGTATATTCATATGCACATGCATATTAATGATTTGCATGAAACAAATGTACAAACTTTTTTCCATTGATGTTTTGTTACCAATCTGTCATTTTTGACTTGATTGCTGTGGGGGGCGGGGCTTAGTTTTGCATGCTAAGTTGCTATTGGGTGGCAGAGACCATTACAACTGTTGTATTGAATGTGGGGTTTTGAATGTGCTTTAACTATGTAATTGTTTAAGTTTTCTTTTCTTTGTTAGACATCAAAAGCATTGCAGATTGTCATGATATGATTTATTCTTTTTCATCTTTTCACAGAGAACTATTCTGAAAGCCCAGTGCTTATCAGATATATGCAAAACGAAGCAGTAACTGTGAACTAAGACTAGAACAGAAAATCCACTTCTTCCTTCACAAATACATTCCCAAACGCACACCTGAGCCCCCAAACCTGTATCAGCTCTCGTACAAGTCCATTTTAGTGTGTATTCTCATCTCATCAGTCTTGTTTACTCATCTTAGTTTTGCATTATTAATGAGCAGAATAGTTGTTCTCTCCCCCCTTGCTGTTGTGTTAAACTCAGCTCTAGCCCCCTCTGCTGGTCTTACGGGGGATGAACTAACGTAGCATTCGCTGTTGTAGATCATTAGCACTCTTTGGTCACTTTAGAGGCTAAGAATACAGATTTTAGCCCTTAATGTTTACATGTTATATTTAAGATTAAAGAAAAGATTCTTTAGGCATTTATTTGAACACACTCCGAAGGATTGATTTCCTGTTCTCTCTTGTGTGTCGCTAAACACTGATCAGAGCAGAGAGAAAGAAGCTAATGCTAAGAAGTCTGCTCACTGCAGCAATGCATGTTTCCACACATTCAAGATAGCTAGCACTTAGCATCCTAGTGCATTTTGTGGTTTTGCTGTGTGTAGTCTATCTGTAAAGGCGTAGTCAGAGTGGATGGGATGACTCCACTTTTATCCCTTTATCTCATTTCTGAAGTTATGATGCGAAAGTGACAGGCCTGCCACTAGTTAGCTTAGTTAGCGAATGCCCTGGTAAGCAGAGGCTGCATGCGATCACGGAGGACAATGTAATTAATTCTCCTGTACACAGACTGCATGTGGAGTTAACAGCACAGAAACTATTGTTAGATTCAAATGTGGCATTTGAAACGGGGAGAGCAGGTCGAGTTCAAATGATTTAGCGACATTATCCAGAATCCTCTCTGTTTCTGACTTACGCTCCCCTGTCACTACTCAGGTAAATCTCTTTTTGTTCGTCTATACCAGTGCTTCCAAAATGATGTCATTCGAAACAAAGAGAGAGGCAGATGGGAACACCCCGTGTACGCATGCATCTAATCATGTTTGATCCCAACACTCGTTCCAAGTCTTCCTTTTCCACAATGTCCTTCACATCCTTCATTTCATCATTTCATTTGTCACTTTCATTTATTCCCAACTCTTACTGCTTCCAAATAACAACCAAAAAGCCCGGATGACATTATGAGAAACTGAGGAAAAATAATGAGTGATTTGTTTAAAAAAAAAAGAAGAAGAAAAAAGAACTTTGGATTACAAAAAAATAAAAACCTGTATGTGGAATCAGGACACAACCAAATTCAGGAGATGAAAGCTTGAGGGTCAGATGGACAGATTGTGTGTTTGGGGAACAGAGGTTTGGGAGGATTGTCAACAAATGAAGAAAGGCGTCGTGAAATGGAGGACAGTTTGGGGAAGAAAGAAAAAAGCAAAGAGAGGAGGAAGGGAGCTGAACGCTTCTCAGTGTAAGAATGTGCGTATGGTGTTCTGTGCGTCACACTGCGTGTTTTCATGTGATGTGCCTGACTGTGTGCTTAGTATTTTGATTTTCTTTGTGTGACACTTTGTTTTCCCGCTCTTCTAATGTTTGGCACTGTGCTTAAATGGCATGTACAAATATATAGGATTGCAAGATTCACACAGTTTTGTTGGATAAAAGATTAACAAACCCCACTGAGTCTAGCTGAATGATGAGACGAACTCCTTCAACTACTACTGCTCCCTCAATGGCTTCAAGTGACATTTCTTCCCTTCTCTTTGTCCGCCGTTTCACCCTTTACTTGAACTTTCCTGGCTCTCTGCTCTGCCCTTCACAATCCCCCTCAGTCATGGCAGCCTCCAGCAGTGGCACGACAGCTCCTCTGGAGATCTCCGACACCTATAGGGCTCTTTTCTTTTGACGGTTATGGGTCTGAAGAGTTAGGTTGAAGGGGATTTTAAGGCTGTGGGTGAAGTTTTCTTTTTAAGTTGAGTCCTGATGGAAAGTTTTGGGTTGACTTGCGATGTTTGACTTTTTATTTCATCCACATTCTGTGGGTAAATCAAAGCTTTATCCATCGAAAGTTAGCCTGCGTCCACTTCATAGCAATCTAATGAATATTAGCGTTGTGTGAACTGCTGTGTCTTGAGACCAAGAGCACTTACATCGCAAAGCACTATTTTTCAAGCAGGAAGCCATGATGTGAGAGTAGCGCCACCGTATGAGCTCAAAGGTGCTCAGGAGACCGTGCTGATTCAGAAAGCTGAACATGGTTTTGTAGTTCTTAAGTTGTGTTGAGTTTGTTTCAAATGTTGACATTAGCGTTAATTTTATTCTGTAGTTGATTTTCTGGTGGTACAGAGCATTGCAAGGTTTTGACAAGATTTTGTTTCAGTCATTTAATATTTTTTTATTTTGAAAGTTTCAAGATTTGCATATGCTGAGCACCCACTAAAACCAGCCATGCCATACCAAAACGGACTTCCTTATGAACTTAGCAGCAGATTTCTGATATTAGCATCAGTATTAGCATTATCCTGTGTGAGAGGAGACCATGATTCCACCAATGTCGCTTTAAAATCATAGATTACACATGTGAGTAACTGTTTGTTTAAAACATTTGGTGTCTTCTTCAACAGGATACGAGGTTACTTTTCAAAAGTTGGTTAGTCTGGTTAGGTGTTTTAAGGTATTTAAAGTGTCATTTCCTGTCTTAAAACACCATGACTGTATTCTGTCAGCACTCATCGTTAAGAATCAGATGTAAGCTTAGTTTAGTAACTACCTATGCAACACCTAATCAAGACCTTAGCAGCTCACACACACACACACACACACACACACACACACACACCATGTGCTCAGGCCAGCAGGCTGGTGTCTGTTTACCGGTGCTGTGTGTCCAGGGAGGAAAATGACACAGATGCAGCTCCATCACCACAAGAGCCAGCATTATCTGCTGACCGTGTAGTTTTAATTCAAACATTAGCAGCTGGTCCGAGTAGCTTGAAGGTGCGACAGATGTGTGCAGCTGTAGTAGCCATGTCACTTTCCTCAGTGGTGCACTGAATTTCCTCTCCCTTCAATTAATACGTCAGATACGTTTTTGCAACGTCTTTTCTGCGTGCTTCTACTGCATATACTCATCTCAGAGGGTCTGTAGGACATCTATGTTACAAGAACTTGTTTTATACGTGGTACTCAGTTCCAAATTGCAATGCATTTGCTGACTGGTTAAGATGACGTGTACCTCTCTGATCGTTCATAAAGTCCGATTGGATGGTGTTTTGGAGCAATAATGATGTAGGGCCACCTTTTTCTCATTGTCATCATTAGGAATTGGGGGACATGTTCATCTCATCCCTAATTAGAAATCCAGTGTGCCTGAAACTGTTCCCTGGATGTTCCCAATTGAAGATGCTCTCTCTGCGAATGCTTGTCTTAGCGTGAATGAGACCGCAACCCCTCCAGATGGCTGACAGCTCAACATACCTTTACTTGAAACCCAAATACAAAACATATCAGAGAGGAGCAGAACAAAGCCAGAATCAGTCTTCATGCTTTCTCAACTTCCTGTTTGCATCCCCTCCCCCCTCTCGTCTGTTCCCTCTCCTTCTATATTTTTGAGGAAGAAGCTTTTTTGCATCCCTTGTTCTTGTGTTTTTCTATCATATTGTTTGAAGTTGAATTATAATGCATGCATGGAATACAATGAGGACGTAACTTGTGAATAATTTGTGAATGGCCAGAATGAGGTGACCATCTCTTTCACCTGGGCTCTCTACTCTGCGACTTCTCTTTCTGAGACAATTAGAGAGGAAGAAAGAGCATATATTGTTTCTGGTTTCTCTCACATCCCTTTCTCTTCAAAATGTAGCCATGCCAAATATAAGTTATGGCTGTACGCTAGCCATTCCGAAAGACTCTGTGTTTCATTTACATATTTATATATTGTTTTTAAGATGATATTTATCTGTATATATCTGTAGTGAATATTCATCAGAGCTTCCACAGACTCAGAGCTGAACAGATGCAGCAGATGTCGACAAAACAGCCTGCAGGAACTCAGTT